GAGCAATGGTAGGCAAATATGCCCTATCTCTGCACTCCCGGTAGGCAAGCTGGTCCTCCTTGCAACAAGGGTTCCTGTTTGTCCTTTGCTCTGACACTCCACAGACATCCCTGTTCCTCCTTTTACGGCAATCAGTCTCTTTTGGGGCTTGCAAGGTGACTTGCCCCTCTCAGTCTCCTTTGTGAGTTTCCTGGCCCTTCTCCTTTACTAGCAGTGTTTGGTCATTCATGCCCCTGCAAGAAACTGCCATTCCCAGGCTTTGCTGTTTAGTGCAGGGTGGAGTTTTCTAGTTTAAGGTTGGTCAAAGTAGGCGGGCACTGTTGAGTAGTCAGTCTTAGAGCTGTGACACATACAAATGAAGGGGACAGGAGGGAGCAGGCAGGGGTATAGGTAAGAGCTGAGTACACATGTGTATGAGAGGCAGGCACGAAGGCAGAGTGCCAGTACATGAATGCACAGCTGTCTGTGTGGCTGCCTGGAGGAGTGTGTACCACAGCAGTGTACGTGTGTGAGGGCAACTTTGCTTGAACCAGGTCTGGTGGTGCTTCAAGAGGACTTGTTAAGGTGAGATTTTAAACCGTTTCTTGGTATCTGGTGTGGGTGCCCAGAACTGTATTCACTGCTCATGCTCAGCAGCCTGAACTGGGCTTTTTGTAAAACACTGTAAACATATGGATGCCAGTAAACTGCTACATGATTCCTCCCGCCAGCAGAAGCTGTTGGTCTGGCTTAGAGGGTAGCTCCTGCTTCTCCAGACTGTCTTCTCAGTGCCCCTTCTCAGCATTTCCCACTAGCGAGAGTCATGCCATCTGTTCTCCTCTGAATAGGCAGATGCTACTTCTAATTCTGCAGAAGCTGATCAGGCCAAATTGAAGAAGAATTTCATAAAACTATGAGCAACCATCAGTGTCATCAAAGACCAGTGTCTGGGGCTTCCCTGGCACCAGATGGTCTTTGCTACACTACTGCCACGAGAGCAGTGAGGGATCTGTACAGGTCTGGAGAGCTCCCCCAGACTCGCAGAGCGCTCAGCTGCAGTCCGCAGAGCGCGAGGTATTTCGCGCTGTACTGTCACCCCCCCAGACACGCACAGGTTCAACAGCCCCGTACTCTGGGGACATGCTGCCCGTGCTCAGAGTGCATTTGTCTCCAAGGGGCTACTTGCTGCTTTCTGTAATGCTCCTTCTTTGCCAGGATCAAGCTTTTCCAAGGCGCCTGTGTGTTTCTGAACAAGCTTAAAACTCCGTTAATTTTTGTGGAGACTCTAGCTGCTTAGGCGGGCAGATCCCAGTTCTTCGCGTTCTCATACATGTGCTGTGGGAGATTCTAACATGGTGACACTGGATTGTCATATTTTTCAGTAGTTTCTGTTCTTCATCCTTAGTGCCTTGAGATTCTTCCTATTCTTTCCGCTCTCAGCCAAATCCTAGCTCATCTCTCTGCCAGCAGACAGTAACAGTGTGCCTTTTTTTGTTCTGTGGCTGAGGTCGTCTCAAACATTCTGGGCTGATCTTTACTCTGCAGCTCTGCGAGGGCTTCATATTTCACTTTTGCAATACGAAATGAACTGAATCACTTGTGACTTTCAGTGTTTGCTTTGGGAAAAATGTGGTTAAGCTTAAGACCTTAGTTTAGAAACATCCCAGCTGCCATGATCGAGAGATACAGTGGTGAAAAATAAGGTTATGTAATTAGTATTTCTTTCATGGTTTTAGTATTAAATATTAATAGTATTAAATATGTAATTAGTATTTATTTCACAGAACCCCTACTGTTCTTTGCTGCTCCTTGTTTCCACTTCACCAGGCGCACACAACTCATTTCAGTCCTTCTCCCCTCCCTGCGGGACAGACTGGTCAGGGCAACAATCACCACTACTTCTTGTATAAGAGTGAAGAAGCTGTTGAGGCTGTGGCCTCACGTGAGGCCATTTCTCAGGCAGACACCAGGAGCAGTCACAGGGACGGTCTGCATACTCTCTGAAACGTCTAAAACATCCAGCTGTCCCACCCCGGTTTGATTCAAGATAAAGGCATGCTCTTGCTTCCCCCAAAAAACTGAATCTATTCTTTTGTTACTCATACTCAGACTATTCACACACAGGTTTCCAGAGAAATAATGATTTCTGTCGTTTTAAATTTGCCTGTGTATCTTAATGCCAGTGTTCATGTCTGCTCAACAGAGTTTTTCTCAATTAAGAGCTTCTGGCTATAGTCCAGGAACACTGTCGGGAGTTAGAATAATGGTATTAATGGTGCCAGATGGAAGTGATATCATCAAAGTTCATTCAGAAGCCAGGACCTTTGGTAAACACTGCTGTATTCATTTGCAAGGAGGAAGCTGATATATGACTTGTTTTTACAACAGTCTTTGTTTGCAGCTCTTCCTAGGCTTGATCCAAATGTTGACCTGAATCAGCTTCTTGTCAGACCTGAACACCACAGTCCATTTGTATAACCAAAAAAATCAGTGGGCTTCTTGTGAGGGACCACATGCTTCTGGTCTCCTGGACTAAATGCACAGCTCCATCCTTGCAAGACATTACTAAAATAAAATTCATATTGTGGTAGCACTTATTGGCAACAACCAGGCTTGCTTACCCATTGGGCTGGGTATTGTCCTGGCTCTGAGAAATTATAATTGCTGCCTTATAAACCCTAAGCTCAAAACGAATGCACAGCAGGTAGATTAGATAGATAAACAAGCCAACTTATGCATATATGCTGGAGGGAAAGATAAGTACTGTTCCTAGTTGGTTAGCAGCAGTGACTGTACCTGGAAATCTAAACGTCAGTGCTACAGGAACTGAAATCATGGGAGGAGGCATCTCCGTGCAAATTAGTCTGAAATCTTCACTGCAGAGGGAAATTGAGGCAGGGCATAAGGCGGAGGTTAGGGAACTGCGAACATTCATACATTACCATGGACCCAGAAGGTAACATGGTAAGCACGTAGCGGGGAAGCAGTGTCTGCGTTGTGGCCAGTTGGGGCACACTTTATACCTCTGCTTGAGGACTTCCAGCTTGCCCCGCAGCCCTGAAGGCCCTGTTCTCTCTATCCTGTCTGGCTGTGGAAGCACCTGGAAGGACTGACCACAACTGAGAACCAGTAAGATTTTTTAATTTTAGTTCGCCTTGCAAAACGTAAAGCAGTTGCACTGGCTAGAGAGGCCTGTCTCCACTGCAGCACAGCTAAACTGCCAGCCTGGCACGTGGCGACAGGGGAGCACACCATACAGTGTGGACTTCACCATACTGCGAGGAGCCTGTCCCCAGGGGTGGCCAGTGCTGCATGCGCCCACCTATGTTCAAGGTACAATCAGGCATGGCTGGGGGCAGGGGGAGGAGAGCGCACAAGAGAGGAGCGGTTGGCAGAGCGTGCTTTGAGAAAACTCAGATCCCACCCCTGACGGTGTACTTCCTGCAGATTCCTGTGCCAGCCGGTACTCAGGCTATGAATTGTCCCCAGGCAGCGCAATGGACGTTTTCCAATAATGAAGTCATCCTCAACAGGCAGAATAGAGGTTTAGTGCAAGAAATAAGGAGCCAGCTTTGGGCAGACCTTTGAGTTGGACTAACACGTTGTGTTGTACCTCTTCTCATAAAAGACCTACAGGATGAATGGAGTTGGAGAGAGGGGTAGCAGGAAACAGTCTTTAAAAAGGAGTTAGGCTAAGAAAGGGGTTAGGTGTGGGTGAGCCTGCCTACACAAAGATGGATGAGAGAAACACTTGTGGGCCTTTCTAGCAAAATTGCCTATGATGTTCTGATTGTGGAGGAGATATTGCTGTGCTTGGATTTATTGCAGTGCCAAATGACTTCCTTTGTGAGCTGGTTTTGGGTGGGATAGAGCTAATTTTCTTTATAGTAGCTAGTATGGGGCTGTGTTTTGGATTTGTGCTGAAAACAGTATTGATAACACAGGGATGTTTTAGTTATTGCTGAGCAGTGCTTACACAGAGTCAAGGCCTTTTCTGCTCCTCACCCCACCCCACCAGCGAGCAGGCTGGGGGCACAAGGAGCTGGGAGGGGACACGGCCGGGACAGCTGACCCCAGCTGATCAAAGGGCTATTCCATACCACATGACATCATGCTCAGCAAGAAAAAGCTGGGAGAAGAAGAAGGAAAGGGGGACATTTGGAGTGGTGGCGTTTGTCTTCCCAAGTAACCATTGCGTGTGGTGGAGCCCTGCTTTCCTGGAGATGGCTGAACACCTGCCTGCCCGTGGGAAGCAGTGAATGAATTCCTTGGCTTGCTTTGCTTGCATGTGCGGCTTTTGCTTTTCCTATTAAACTGTCTTTATCTCAACCCATGAGTTTTCTCACTTTTACTCTTCTGATCCTCTTCCTTATCCTGTTGGGGGGAGTAAGTGAGCAGCTGTGTGGTGCTTAGTTGCTGGCTGGGGTTAAACCACGACACTTTGGTATGTGAGTTTTTGCATGTGATGACAATAAGTGTTTCCTGAAATCCCAAAAGGAATATAAGCAAAAGAAATGGAAGCCTGCATTGTATTTTTACAGCATTCTGGCATAAAAATAATTGTAAATGGTGATCAGAGCAGGAGCTTAAAAGCAACAATGTGCAACTGTTGAATTCTCCACAAAAACTTTGTTCCATCTTTCCTCCATAAAAATTGCTGGGATCATGTCTGCAGGGATTGTGTACACTAAGTACACGTTCCTGTGTACTGACTTATTTCAATACACTGAACTAACTCTTAAACTTTGATAAAAGTGCAGAAGCTTTTCAGTCATCTTCTAAAAGTGCATTAGAATGGCTTACTGACAATGTTTTTGTCACAGAAAATCTTCAGCCCTACAGTATTTATGTCCTTTCCAAAGACACCTTGTGCTGTGGTTGTCACAGCATCACTGGTAGTGTGGCAGCTTTCCAAAACCCTGAGCCTGCAGAGGGATTGGCAGGAGCCTGATGCACCGCATCCTGCCTTCTTCGTGGTCATGATGCTGAACTTCCTCTGTCTCTGCAGGTCCTTTGCAACCATGATGAAGTCTAGAGTGGTGCAGGTGCTCCTGATTCTGGCAGTTCTGTCCTTCCTTCTGATCCACTTCCACTTCCCGCCCTGCAGCAACACTACCCCCATGGAAGAAAAACCTTCTCCAGTGCACATCCTCATTCTCTCCTCCTGGCGGTCAGGGTCTTCCTTCACTGGACAAATCTTCAGCCAGCACCCCAGCGTCTTCTACCTGATGGAGCCTGCATGGCACGTGTGGGTTAAGATGTACCAGAACAGTGCCAAAGTCTTACACATGGCAGTGCGGGACCTAGTCAGGTCCGTCTTTCTGTGTGACATGTCTGTGTTTGATGCTTACATGTCTAGCCAGAAGAAAAAGTCTGATTTATTTCAGTGGGAAACAAGCCGAGCCTTGTGCTCCCCCCCTGCCTGCGACTCATTCAGTCGCAGTGACATAATCACTGCAGGCAATTGCAAAACAATCTGTGGCAAGTACCCATTCAGCAAGGTGGAGGAAGCTTGTAAAACCTACAGCCATGTTGCCATCAAGGAGGTTCGGTTCTTTGACCTGAAAGTTCTCTACCCCCTTCTCACTGATCCGTCCCTGAACCTCAAAATCATTCACTTGGTCCGTGATCCTCGGGCTGTGTTCAGGTCCCGAGAGAATACAATGGCAGACCTGAAACGTGACAGTAACATTGTTGTGGGGTCCCAGAGTGCAAACGGAGAAATGGGGCCCTACAACACAATGCAAGTAATCTGCAAAAGCCATGTTGAGATTTACAAGGCAGGCAGCCAGGCCATTCCCAGCTTCCTGAAAGACCGCTACCTGCTGGTTCGCTATGAAGACATTGTAAGAGACCCGCTAGCGAGGGCTGCTCAGATGTACAGGTTTGCAGAACTCCATTTCACACCAGAACTTCAGAGGTGGGTGTACAACATCACCCATGGGAAGGGGCAAGGAACACAAGCCTTTGCTATTGGGTCCAGAGATGCACTGAGAGTATCCCAGGCCTGGAGGAAGACCCTTCCCTTCCAGAAAATAGAAAAAGTGCAAAATGTGTGTAAGGATGCGATGGACTTGCTGGGCTACCGGCTCATTCAGTCCCAAGAAGAGCAAAAAAATATGTCGCTGGATCTTTTGTTTGCCCAGAACTCCGAGTAACAAATTCTGAAGGCAGAAAAGCTGCTCTCTGCAACTACTCTCTGAAGGCTGCAGAGTGGAGAACTGTCTACTAGAGCAAAAGAGAACAGAAGTACGTGCATGGATGTGCTATGTGAGGACAAGTAACACAGGAACCCCGACTGCACTCATGAGAGCTTTCTCAGCAGCACAGGGTCACGCTCCAAGGCTCCTGGAGGCTCAGCCACAATGCAGGCTGAAACAATGCAAGTCTGTTTTCCAAATTAAGCCCGTGGTTTATGTGAAAGAGGACATCCGTGTAGGTTGGAGCAAACAATGCCAAAGGACTGGGGCCAGATAGCAGAGCTCAAACCCCTCACAGACCACAGCTATATACTAGTGAAACCACATGGAGCAATGGCATTGCAAAGGAAGAGGATATCTAAATGGATGCTGAATAAAGAGAACATTACTTGTCGTGCTGCCACCCAGGACGCTTAATGCCAGAAGAGATGCAAGGATGACCAGATGTTGGTTTCTGGAAAGATCCTTTTTTCGGAATGGTTGAGTTTTCAAGCCTGTTTTTTCTTTGCTCCATTCCTGTACCTTGGGATTCAACCTTAGTGGCAATGTTGGGGAAACGTTTGTGTTCACTTAGTATAAAATGGGAAAAGGGAATAAACCAGCTATAGTTGAAAATAAAAACTCCTGGGTTTGCATATGGGGATCCATTTCTGGGACTATGTGAATCCATTTATTTTTCAGCTGAAATAATTCTGTCTTCTAGCTTTCAAAACCAAGAATAGTTGTTCCCCTGGGAGTTCTCACAGTCCACACATGTGACTGAGAAGAATTCATGCTAAGGTTGAGACTATAAAGACAAGGTAAGGACACGGATTCCATTGGTATAAATACTGGAACTGGGAAGATAGATAGGCTTATGGCAGTGGACTGAAGAAGCTGAGAGGAGAACAGGTGATTTTCCTGTTGAATTATTTGGTGAGAGTATTTCCTGTCTTAGAGCACAACAAAATCATGTTTACTAGACTATGCCATTCTCCACCATCTCCATTGGAGATGCCATTCTCCCACTTCCAGTGGGAATATGTAGCTCAAAACCCGAACGACAGAATTATTTTTACCTGGTTTTAGCAGTGTTCCGTAAGACAAGGAGAAAAGCTGGTTAGCAGACTTGGGGGGTGAAATGCCTACCAATACCTCTTTCTAAACATCCTCTTTCGTGTGTAAATTGCAGACTCCCTTTAACGTGCATCCATTTAACAGTGCATTCAGATGTTGCTGCGGAGCTGGAGTATTTCCACTACCCTGCAGACAGCAAGGCAGCTGTCCTAAGGCAGGATCACAAGCATCAACAAGGGATAAGGCTCGATTCTGAGGATGTGCATCCTTGGGAGAAGGTGATCAAGGCAAGGCTGGGCATTGGAGGTGATCTGAGGAGGCTCCAGGCAGGATGAGGGCATTCAGGGCCATGGGAAGCTGTGTTCCCCTTCCCTCTCCACCAACACCAACCCCCCCCCC